CTAACTTACTTTCTGCTGTGAAAAAAGCTACTGTTCAATACACGAAAATGTGGTTTTTTGGGGGTTGGGGTTCTTTGTTTTTTTTTTTTAAAGTAACTAGTGGGCTAATTCTGTGGCTTTAGTACATACACAGTTGCTGTAGAGGTTTGGTGCACTCAATAATTGGACCTACACAATCTTTTAAATCCAATAATAAGATTTTTACGTTTAAACATTTTGTCACAGTGTAGTGAACTAAGTATAAGAATCCACACTTGCATATGAGAATTACAAATTAACAAACAAAACAAATGAAAATGTTCTGATTAGTTTGAACTGAGACTGCTCTGACTGCTATTTATAAAATATTAACACAAATATTTTTAATAACTTACAGTGTCTTAACAAAGCCATTTAATTTCAGAATGTACCACTTACTGATAGTAAATCTATAGAACTTTTTTTTAATTGCCAATATGTGGTACACCTCAAAGAAATTAATTAGCTCTATCCTGGAAGCGAAAAGTTTTCTCCTGGCTGAAGTGGTGCTAGATATGCCATGCTTTGAGTTGCCCGCTTTTCAAATATGCAGCCTGTTTGTCTGCCATCATGCAATTTGCTCCCAGAAATGCCTTGTGCTTTACTTTTCCATTCGTGTTTCCAGAGCTGTACGTTAAGCTCCGCACTGTTTCTCATGGAAGGACAGACCTACTTCAGAAACTGGTTTATAGCCATTGATTTAATGGATAGAAATTAATAATAGTGTCATTGCACTGATTCGCAGACAGTTGTCCCTTTATTTCAAATAATAAATGAGCTTTTACTTTTGAGCCACATGTATATGGCCAGAATTGTTTGCTGTAACTGGAGTTGAGAGCAAATGGTAGGATATTAAGACTGTACATAAGTGAAATTTTTTCTTTGCTAGAAATCTGGTTTTGAATCTAACAGTATATTGTCTGTATTGTGTGAACATAAACTTGAAGGCACCGTGAATGTCATGGTGATAGAATTCTACCTCCCATTATTTGCTGTTATCCCATTTTTGTTTGGATTATGTGCCTTATTAAAAATGTCAAGGTTTCCAAGATGCTACCTAATGGGTCAACGATCTCCACATACTTTTTCATATGATCTCCACAAGATCACTCTGTATTTTTCACATCAACAAATGCAGCAGAATGCGAGACTCTCAGGGCAGGAAGCCTATATGCCGCTGAGCAAGTCTAGAACCAGGGACATGTTCCAGGATCATAACCGTGACATGTCACCCTCCTTTCCTGGGCAGGGATCCCCAAACTGCTGAGGCAGAGGTCTAGGCTTCCCTAGGAGCTTAGAGGGAGTCTGGAAGCCAGAAGCCAAACACAGAACATCACACGTGGCCCTAGGGCCTGCAAGGCTTGTATAAAACCCATCGGGCATGCAAACTTGGAGCCCCACATCACATTCTGCAATTACATACACTAGAATACGTGTTCTGCTAGCTCCAGCCTGTAAAGGTGGCTGTCCTCCGAGAATCTACAAGGAGATTGGTGTAATAAAATCAAGTCACAACTTAGGAGTGCATCTGTAACTGCACTGACAGAAAAGTAGCATCAAGGATTTTTTTTTTTCTTGGTGATTCCTGCATCAGATGTGCTCAGTCTGCCATGTTTTCCCCTGGAGCTCAGGCCAGCTTACACTGTCCTTTGATTCGCTTCATTTATCGTCAATAGTAATAAAGGTACTGAAGGATAAATTATGCGCCCCCATGACACCTTAGGAATCAAACTGCCATAGCTGATGGAAGATAACTATATTGTCGACAGTGCATAGGAAAGGACAAGATCTACTTTTCTTTTCCTTGATGTCTGTCTTTAGGACTGACAAGAATAAAGGGCAAGAAAGATTTATTTTCAGCACTCGAGTGTGCTTCTGAATAATCGGATCTTTCTGAAGGGAAAGCACCCTATTTATGCGGTCACTTTTTAAAGTAAAACTGCACTTTAAGTCTAGGTTTATTCTTCTACATAAGTGATTCTGGCGTGTGTTGGTACACTTTGTGTAATTCTAGAGAAACTGTAAATTCAATAAGATGTTTTATAAAGCTTTGATCTTCAAACAGTTATATTTCACTGGATTTTAATGTAGTTATGTGTGGTGGGTCTTTCAATAAAATAAATTGCATGTAATATGCTAATTTTAGTCATCCTGTTATTAACCAAATCTGATGTCTGATGACTGCATGATTATTACGTAGGTGGAATGATGTCAGTACAGTTTTGTCCATACAAAACAGAACATTTTACATTGCTCAGAAATTACACTGACTGCTGAATATAGACCTTTTGTTTTACTAATGGGATCCAGAAACCTGCCTGTTAACAGCAGAAGTAACTGCACACAATCTACTGTTCCATTCAGTTATAAATATCATCATCGCAGTCAGTGATGTGGCATATTCAAAAATATTAGACAGGTATAACTTTCAAGAGTGGACTAGATCTAAAAGAGAATCTATATGCTTGAAAATGTAAGGTTTGTGAATAATGCAGTTCACTGAACTTCTTTATAAAAAGTGTTATAATGCATTCACAGATGTTCTACAAACAAAAATGAGGCTTTTTTTTTAGATCACTGCATTTGGTTCTGCTCTATTAAGAGAACATAGGGGCCTTAGACCACATATGTAATTCAGACTCAAAATATTTTATAAATACTGCAAGTGCATCAGGAACCGCTTTATCTACTTCTGTAACGAGGTGACATCCTTCATGGAATGGGTTAGATGCTCAATGCTGCACAGCAATTAAGATGGAAATGGGAAAAAAAATTTCCACACAAAGAAAATCAGGAATTTCTAGGGGAGAAATAAATGAACCGTCACAGGATGTGTCCAGGGCACGTGGCAGTTCTTACAAGAAGTTCCATAGTGAATTCTTCAGCTGAGCCTTCAAATAGTAACCCAAATACCCTTTATAAGTCTTAGTTTGAGATTAAGTTCTGATTTACAGAAAGAAGCACCACATCCCAGACAATTTGCATAATCTTAATTTTCAGTTAAAATGTTATACCCAGGCTTTTACACAGGACTTACCCAAGTGCTGACTTCTCTTTACTTGGAAGAGTCAGTAGTTTTGCAACAGTGCTTTACTACCATAACCTCATAATAACAAATTATGGGTGAAATGTTACTATTTGAGTCCGGGGAAACATTAATTTGCATCTCTCTGTGCCATTCCTAGTTTAGTATAGGTTAGAGAACAATATCCATCTGCAAACAGGAAACAAGCTTTGACGTCCTAACTTCCTACTCGCATGATTCTGTGAGTCATATAGGTCAAACTGTCAGCTCCAAAAATGTAGCTAAAGTTCAGGGAAACTTAATTTTCTCTGCAAAATATTATCTTTTTATTCAGCCTAACCCAAGTCAGTAAATAGATAAATGTAGTAGCTATAGGTGAGTTTCCTCATTCAAGACTCAGAATATCAAATTCCCTTTTTACTATGGTAGCAACACCGTAAAGATTTCCTTTGCCCATCAATTTTGGGTTTTTCTTTTAAAGTAGCCTTCATTGTGGTGCTCATTACTGTCCCACCTGACCATTTAAAATATGGGATTAAGCTAATGCTCAAAACATACGTGTGACTTTGGAAATGATTGTTTTCCCCATTTTACTGATGAGGAAACTGAGGTATGAAGTTACTGAGCTCTCCGTACTTAGCAATTCTAGAGCATCTAGTTGTTCAGGATTACTAAATTCGTATTTCTCACTTGGGAAATCGTTACAATAAAGCATACAGTTTGCAAAAAATAACACAGATGGAGGAATTCCAAGAGATTGGAGAATTATGTATCTTCTAATGGAAGTAAAATCTCACTTCCAATTTCCTTATCTATCCTTTCTCTTTGAAATCAAGCATTCTTCACTTTTCAAAACACATTGCTGGGTCATCACTTCAGACATTTCTTTCACTTCTTTGCTGAAGGTAAAGACCAACACTGAAGCTTACCTGCTGCATCCTGTACTCCCTACATGCGCTGCCACAATGTGTAGCACCTAATAAAGCATCAGTGGGAATAACTTCTGTATCATCTCTCCTTTACTGTATGTGTCAAGAATAAAAAGCGAAGGGGGGAGCTACATCTTCCACGTACACGAGAATACGTTTGAATTTGTTATTGGCTGGTTTTAGGAGTTGGAATTGGATTGCAAGAACAGATACTCATCCTCTTTCCCATCTAGGACAACTGATAAATACAAAGCTGCAGAACTGGGAACAGAACTCAGGCCTCTGGATCTGCTGTCCCATGCCGAACTGTTACACAAACTTTCCAGCTGGTAAGGCATCTGAGAAAATAAGGAATTTTGTATATATATGTTCATTTAACTAGGATATGCCTAACAGAAACCAGAACACAAAGAGGTAAACTGTGTCACAGTAGAGGTGTGTTGACAGTCACATCAGAGAATAACATACACAAGCAAGATTTGTCTTTCACTTCTCTGTTATAACCACTAGACAACAATGCTGCCTACTTTTCACTCCAGACATGAACCAACAAGATATAATACTTATCTCTATTAATGTGTCATAGGTACTACTTTAAAATTTTCTGATACAATATCATACACAGTTTAACAGTCAATCCCTGTCTGTTCAAATATAGCATGTATTTGCAGTGGGTAGATCACCTTTTCAACGAATACGTAGATTTTAGATCATAAAACTACAGATCTAGTATACATGCAGGGAATTGTAGTAAGGACACAATCTGTCCATGATTCCCTTTAGAGTATACAAGATGGACACAAACTGTTTAAACCAGTTTTTGGTTTGCATTGTGACTCTTGGGCTATTAACATTTGCTCCACACACAAATTTCAGAAACCGTGAACTTTTCCCTCCATTACAGCTGAAGCTGATCTACATATACCCTCTCACCTATTGGCTCCGCAATAGCACCCTTCCCCTCCAGCAGAAGGGCTCTGGGCTGTAATCCACCCACAGTCTTCCTTATATAAGGCCTGGCTGGAAAACTACTTCTTCATGTTTTGCTTTTTGGTCAGAGGTTAATTGTATCTTCTTTCCCCAGTCTGGCAATGCCTGCAGATTTCAGTGGAACCTGGAACCTTATCAGCAATGACAACTTTGAAGGTTATATGGTGGCCTTAGGTAGGTGAAAATACCTAATTCTATCCTTCCTCCCTTCCCCCATAAGGGTCCTGCTGAATTTTAAGACTCTGAGTTCTTCTAAAACCTAGGTATTGCTGAAGCTTTTTTCCTCTGAAAAACAACGGGAAGATCTTTGTTTCTTGATAAACAGACAACATTAACTATACTTCAGCCTGTCACCCAAGTGTCCTTGCAGCTTTCAGGAATTTCTCAGCCTACGACTTATTAAAAGTAGAATTTTTGTATAGTTTTTATCAGAGACATATGAGTTTGTCCTGTCCACTCAATTTCTCTTGCTTTTGAGCATGAACTTACAGAACCCATATCTAGGGTTAATTAAATGTTAAGTAACAAAAAAAAGCGCTTGGGTATTTGCCACTTCCAGGCAGTTATGCAGCTTAATGTCACTATATGTAAACAGCTTACAAAATACTTTTCTCATTACTGTGACTTGCTGATAACCTGTAACTGTCACTTTTCTGGAGTGCTTGAAGCTAAGGACCTACCTTGCTCAGATCTTTTAGACAGAGAGACTAATAGTGCTTCAATGGGGAACTATGAAAGTTCTTGGTACTTCACTAGCTTTCTTGTACAAAACCCATTATAGACTGTGACAGCAGGCAACCTTGTGTGCCTTCTCCCTGCCTCTCCCACCCCTTTCTGCCTTCTTGACTTGTGTAAACTGATGACCAGCAGCGTCCCTTGTTGGTTATTGTATACACAACTAAAATGAAATCTATTTTCTGGCTGTAGCTATGCTGGGTGACCTACTTAAATTGTCTAGCTGGTATCTTTAAAATGGTGAAGAAAATGTTTCTGATCCTGCTGTGTTATCAGTTAGGGAAAAAAAGATGTGCTCCCGTACTGAGAACATATTCCTTAGTTTGAATACTAATATACTCTTAACATGTTAATGTCTTCAAATGGAATAGAGATTCTATCTGTTCCTTGATAATAAACATTATCTAGCTAAGTAACGAACTTTTTTAATGAAACAGAACTACCGATCTTGAGGAAAAAATGCAATTTGTTTTCAGCATGTAATTGGGGGAGCCTACTTAAAAGTAAAGGCAAATAACCCTGTTGATGATTTACAACCTCTCTTTAATTATTCCTGTTTGGTTGCCTGTATACTGAACAAAACCAGGGCTGAAATCAATGTTAAGGAACTAAAATGAAAAACTTTTCTGCCAGGGTAAGTATAGTGAGGAGGCTATATTCTATCAGCTGAGTAACTAGAGGGTTACCGGTAAGGATAGGGCTATTCCAAGCCTAGCACTTCCTTCAATTTAGTATCTACCTGTAAAGAACAGATTTGTAAGTAGTTTGTATTTATATGTTCTTATAACCACATTAAGGCTTAACAGCTATGGCTATTGCCAGTACTGAATTCAAAGCCCTCTCTATGCTAAAATAAACTGGTAACCATGTAAAAACATGACTGACAAATTCTGGTGCTTCTGTAACGCATACAGTAATGAAGTCCCACTTCAAACACAGGCTGCATAATGAGCCCTATGGCTCAACACATGGGAGCTGAACACACCCTGTCAAGAAGATCACAAACCCAGCCTGCACAAAGTGAGAAACTTATAGGGGTCCTATAAAACGACATTTTAATCGAGGCGATGAAAACAGCTAAAACACAGGCCCCCATTTTACCTATCCCCCTTGCTGAGAACACATCTCTGAGCATGCTATTGGGATGCAATGTAGTTCAGTTGCCTGCCACATAGACGGTCTGATCCTCTAAAGAAACATTCACCAGAGAAATAGAAAAAACTCTAGAAGCATTACTTTAAGCTCAGTATTACCAAAAACATCAGAATTCTGTCAAATCTGATCATTAGAGATAACCAGGAAATCTTTTGACAAGTATGATGTTTTCTAGTTGCACTTAAACAGTGTTAATAGCAAGTAGCATGTCCTGAAAACAAGCCTGAGTAGGTAATTTTAGGACTGTGCTTCATTTTACCCTGTTTAGGGTACAGGGTGCAAAGATTTCACGTTAATTCACATAACGCCTTTCCTCTGGCAAAGGGTGAGAATAGGCATTAACTATTCCCTCTAGCGAAGCAGGGGTTAAGTCTGAGACCAAGCTTGGGGTATCTGTCTGGGAGAAACGAACTCTCCTGCACTCCTAAAAGGACTCTTCTAAGTCCTAGAAATACTGCATAGGAATTCTGCAACAGTTGAGTAAACTGGTTTCCAAAGAGTAAAATGTAAAAACATGACTTGATCTGTGTAACATACAGCTTTAAAAACAACAATGAAAAACCCCCAACAAAACTCTTTCATAGAAGTAAGGTCAAACTATCTAAGAAATGCTTCTAGTAGTAATGAAAGTAAGTGCTGGCTGTCAGAATGGCTGGTGATAAATACAACTCTGACCTTTTTGCCCCCCGTCCAAGGTATTGACTTTGCAACACGCAAGATAGCAAAAATGCTGAAGCCTCAGAAAGTGATCAAACAAGATGGTGATTCATTTTATATCCATACCACTAGCACATTCAGAGATTATTTGCTTCAATTCAAAATTGGAGAAGAGTTTGAAGAAGATAATAAAGGCCTGGATAACAGGAAATGCAAGGTAAGACTGAATATATAAAATGAAGAGGTGGTGACAAAATTCAAATGCCATGATCAATCCAGCTACCTGAGCTGAAACAGTTTCAAGGATATTTTTTGTAATGTAACGCAGAGGTAGGAGCCTGAGTTAAAGACAAGCAGTTTCACTTTCCCTCAGGAGAGTTATTTAGGTCCCTTTTATCCAGGAAAAAAGGACATTGGTTAGGAGTATATTGCAAAACTGAGACAAACAGAAACACTTTTTTGTTTCTTCTTCCACAGAGCCTAGTTACCTGGGAAAATGACAAACTTGTCTGTGTCCAGACTGGTGAGAAGAAGAATCGGGGCTGGACTCACTGGCTTGAAGGAGATGACCTCCACCTGGTATTTAATTCAGATTTCTACTAGTTCTGTCTCTTGTCTTTTGTCTATGACAAAAATAAGATCTATAATGCCGTCATGGTGTGTACAAGTTGTCTTCTAGCTCTGCAGTATTTGTAATGGATGGTACATAGTGAGCGCATTCTGCTTTGATTGTAGTTTAGCTGGAACAACTTCACTATTTCACTGTCATGTATAGTTAAACTTAGAATGTTAAGCATAACTTATGGCAGCAGTGTCATGTAGTCAGTAGTCATGGCAAAGAATTTATGTTCAGTTTTAGAAGCAGTTCCTTTGATTACTATATACATCTATACTTTCGCTTTTTTTTTTGGTAGGAGCTTCGCTGTGAGAATCAAGTATGTAAACAGGTCTTCAAGAGAGCTTGAATATATGCACTGGTTCCTATATGGAGAGACAGCTAAGAACAGGAGACTATGCATCCTTGTGTCCACTGATGGCTGTACGGACAAGAACTGATTCCTTGTACCTATTAACATAAATGGTCCGGTGTTTCTGGCTCAGGGAATAAATCTGCTGTTGCCAGTGTTAAAGATCTGATTTTTTTGCTAATAAATACCCCAAACCAAACCAATCTTAAATACTTGACTTCTGAATGTGTTTTTGGAGGGGAGGAAAAAAAAAAACCCACACAACCCAATGTTAAGTGATATGGCTTAGGTCTCTAACATGCTAAAGTTTGTTTAAATCAAAACAAGAAAACCTGCCTATTCTAATGGGGCATGCCCACATCAAACAAAACAGGGGGAAAAGATTCTACAGAAGTGAAGATAAAGGAAGTAGACAACAAAGGATACAGATTTATTATTCCAAATGCTTCTCAGTAACATGCAGATTAGTAGTTAACTCCACTTGCTTGTATCTTAAATGTGTAATGTAAGGTCCTATATTGCACCATAGCTGCTTTGTTCTCAAAATAATTACATTCAGCTTACCAAAGGAAACCAGCCTGTGATCATATCCCAAAACAATGAAGATAAGTCTGAGTAATCCATGTAGATTCCAGTCTGCAAAATAATTGAACTCTATAAATACATATCCAGAGTGAAAACAATGTTTCTTTAGCTAAGATTTATTTGCATACCTCTGTTCAATTAGGTTAAGTGATTGCCTTTTTGACCTTGTGCAATATTGCATGGAAAAGTAGGTTTTATTCTGCCTTGTGTAAACACATGTAAGTCGTCAGATCAACCTAGTAGTTACATGTGAAATGAGTTGCTGCATATTGTTGGTAACACTAACATTGTGGGGATCTTATCAATGCAGGGAAGAAAAAAGTTTTATTAAATCTAGCTTAAGCTTAGTAACTTAATTATGTTCTGTGCAAAAAAAAAAATTAAATCTAAAGTAACCCCTGACATTTTAAAATGTAAGTAACACAACGTTTCTGATACTACTTCTTGTCAGTTCAGAATTCTTAAAGCCACCACCAGAGGCAGGCAACCTGCTGAAGCTTAGAGCCTTTTGTTAGATTGAACCCCCCATATAATTACTAGAGTACTATATAAATTTAAGCTAGCTTCCAAAATATTAATAGAAGAACTAGTATTGCTTACAGTTAGGGACATTTGTGGGACTAGCAGTAAAATGTGTGGTGTTTATTCTAGGGAACCTGACAGTGTCTTCCTTCTGGAACTGAGTAGTTTTATTTCAAAACAAAATTACTGTTACCATGTTATTCTAATATAAATAACAAATTCATGCAGCAAACCCACTCTGTCACAGCTAACATCTGTCAGCAATATAGAGCAATAACCATGCAGACTTTGCAACTCCACTAGATGGCACCTCTGGAACGTAGTACATCTTAAATTGTAGCGGTTCCCTAACAGCAGTATTTTAAGTGTTAAATATTGCAGATACTCTCAAACCCTACAGCTCTTAAGCTGTGCCCTGCAATAAGATATGCATGAGAAGCAATACAGAAAGGCAATGACGGTCTTAAGAACTCGGTTAGTACAGAGAGAGACTCCAAGTAGAAATCGGAAAAATATAACCTTAGAAATCTGTATGACTAGAAGTGTAGTAATTCATTAGTAAGGCTGCTATTGGGAAGTCCTTACTGTTAGAAATATAGAATAGTTATCAGCAGTGATATTACTTTTATTATTGCTACCTTCCTACTTCAAACTGCTCATCTGGAAGCAGGTAATGCTATGCAGAACTCACTTGAAGATGCGAGAAGATACTGCAGTGACAAAACTGCTTATCCTCATTTCATTTATGTGCTAACCAGTTCACATGCTTTCACAAAATACTAATTAAAAGTCTTAAAAGCCCAAGTGAAAAAAGAAAGGGAGCAGTCACATGTTCTGGAAGTAGAGGGGAAAAAAAAGACGACTTCAAGATAGCCTTTGCCAAGAACATATGCACTTGAGCTGTAGACCTGAAGGACAAGAACAAAACTACCCAGAGATGCACTTGGTTTTATTCAAAGGTGTTTCAGACCACTTCAATTATATTACACTATTGCTCAAATAAATAAGTAAATCAATAAACCATTTTCTCTGATGAGATGGGAAAAAAAGTTATACAAGTAATATATAAAAATGTAAGGAGTTGTATCACTGAATGTAGTTTGCCATTATCGTTTCTAAAAGTTCGTCTTTGTGACAGACTTAGACAGACAACCTGCCTGATGTAACTCCCATTTTTTGGTCCTCTTCCAACAGAGCAACTTCTCAAAATTCTTTTCATTTTCACCTACAAGTATTACAACTGACCAAACAAGGAGAGCTGGAAGGGAACATCCAATTCTCTTAAGGTTAACACAGACCCTGGCTGTTTTGTTCTCCCGCTGGAGCTTCATTTTGAGGATGAGGGAAAAGAAAAGGGAGAAAAAGATGAGCACCTTTCACAAAAAAATACCATTTTGTGATATAATGAAAAAATTAGGTGCAGAAAAGTTCGCGTTTTTACACAAGAAAGGAAAAAAATACTTCAGGTTCAAACTACACTTAGAAAGAGCCAAGGCCCAGTAGTCACTGGGGGCTTAGTGCTTTCTTTTTCCCTTGGTACGCTACAGAGACTGTAATAATCAGACAAAAAGCCTGTAGTCTCGCTCGATCATGCGTCACCGAGAAGGGGGCGAGCACCTTCAAAGAGCGGAGCACGTACGGACGCATTAAAGCGGGAAGCCTCCAGTAGCCTAACCCCGGCCTGGATCCCGATATCCGTACCTGCGGGGCTGCG